ATATATATATATATAGACTAGTTTCGAGTTGATCAGTCTTATTCGAGTCAAATCTTATCCTAACGAAACTCAAATTCCCCTAATTCAGTTTTTGACTTTATTTTTTCTTTGATAAAAAAATACACTAATTAATTAAGAAAATTAAAATTAAAATCATTTTAATAATAATTAAAACTTTAATGAATTATTTATCTAACAATAAAATATAAATTCTAAAACTACAATATCATAAAATTGAACTTAAAGCATGAATGTCATGAAATTTATATAGATTCAATCAAGAACAACATAGATTAAATATTAGAAACTATGCACAAATAACAAAATTTTAATATTAGGAATCATGCGTTAACAATGCAATTCTAGTTCTAGAAATCATAAATAAACAAAAACATTTCAATAATAACAAATAACTAACGAGGGAGAGATAATGAACAAACCTCTCTCTCCAAAATAAAATATTCCTCGTTCGTGAAGAGCTCTCTTAGGGTCACTGTTGATAAACGAGTGAGAGGCTTGTTCGTCAATAAATAGGAAAGAACGAATGGTTCCTTTTAAGAAAACAAATAATTTGATTTCAGAATTAATTAATTATTTTTTTTAATTTATTCCAAACTTGTTTGCACTAATATGGTTATAGATTTCAATTGATAACACATGAAAGGAAATATATTAATTAATTAAGGCAAAACCCTAATGGTAGAAATTTAATTTTGCAAAATGAATTAAAATAAAATATTAAGGGGTTACAACAATATATATATATATATATATAATCATTGTAAGCCGGTTGTTGTTAGATAATGAATGAAACAGAGCTCGAGACTCTTCTTCCATGACCGGACCTCCTGTGGAACTTTATAGACTCCTCTCTTCCATGGCCACCACCTGTGGAATCGAAGCCAATTAGTAAGACTTTGGATACCTTCTACCTATGATTCATGGGGTGCACGAAAAGCTGTTTTCAGTCCAAATCATGTCGTTCCATGCCCCGACATTTGCAGCTCAAATCATTACCGAGAACTTTGTGGCTTATTTTGCAGCACAAGCATCAAAACAACAAACACATGGTCTGCAGCTCCTGACCGTGAGACGTTTCCGTTCCTCCATGTGATTGTGTCTGTCCTGCGTCTTCTCAAACCAAACACATCACGTTCACTTGTTATCTCTGCTCGACCCACTGGAACCTGCAAAAGATTTACTAGCAAAAAAAGAATGATGGACAATCTCAGCTGGAGCTGCAGGGAATAATACTGTGCAACGGGCTTCGAGATCTTGTTGTCTTCTGCTGTGTATGTTTGCCTGCCATGCAAGTAATTTTCCCACAGGCGGCGATCAGTTGATGCTGCACTGGACTGCAAGTCGATAGAAAGAGAGAGGGAAAAGTAAAACTAGAAGAAGATAATGTGTTTGTCATTGTTACGAACACCTGCCAGGAGATAAAAAGGAACTCCACAAACAGGATCTAACCTTTGACACCTTAGTCAAGTCAACCTCATGCAACGAAAAAAAGGACTGACATTGCTTACGACCCCATGGAGTAGGCAAAACCTCATTATTCCACATCATTGTGCCCTGCCAATATGATGATACCAATGCTTGCAGGTATCAGTTTGGTCTGGTGGAGCCCCAACTCATGGTTGATTCTTTCTTTGTCTATTATCTTGATGGATGACAAGGAAGCACAACGCAGTGCGCGAGGTGAAGGTCATGTACATCAGATCTGGTCTCTTGTAACCACTGCTAATGTAATGTCCCTGTGGAAGTTCCTACAGCATCAGGCATTCACTCGCAAGGGATACTAGAATACAATCCTGTAAGAAAAGCATACATATTTCTGAAAAGATCTTACATGTAGAGTCAAAGATGAGCTTTCTTGTGTTGGCTCAATAAAACTTCGTTAAGGAACATCATTGCTCACAAAAAGCTTCATATGTGATGCACAAGCAGGACAACCACATCCAACATATTTGAATGATTCATTAGTTGTCTCAAAAATAGTTGTATAACGAAAGACCTCATGACAACACTCTCGATTATTAGGTATTCTACTTGTCCCCTCGGCCGAACATCCCTCCCATTCCACCCATATCTTTGGATCCCATTTGCTTCATCAAGCTCTGTAGACCACCCATGCCGCCAATCTGCTTCAGCATTTGAGGAGGTAGGACCTTGCTCATCTGCTGCGCATTCATATTCCGAGACAGCGCACTCATTTCACCTTTCTTGGGGATCTTGAGCCCCTTCATCTTGCTCCAAATCTTCGCTAGACGCTTGTATTCCTCCAGCATTTCTGTGACATCCCTGACTGACCTGCCTGAACCCCTCGCAATCCGCATTATACGGGACTCATTCATCAATTTAGGATTTGTACTGTCCAGCTCTGGATTCCAGAAAAAGGCAATTCGACTATATCATCCCACTACATTAAAATCTTTCCAGCAGTGGATAAAATTAAGGGACACATTACCTGCATTCGTCATGGAATCCATCATCGTCATATAACGCTTGATTTTTGCTTGACTTTCCTTTTCATGACCTTTAGGCATCAATTCTGCACTAAATCCAGGTAGCATAGAGAACACCTGCATGCAATATCACGTTCATCATTAAATGATAAAAAATATATGTAAAAAAAAAGGCATATAGTGAAATAGGAAGGTACAACAAAACAACTGCTGAGCTGCAAAAAACAGTCCAATGCAAGAATATATAATGACACAGTGAAACAGAATAGTTAATCTTAACTAGTCAAGCTTAAAAAGTTGAATCAAATCTTATGACATGTAGAAGCTACAGTGCCAAAGGTAAATTCTAATTTTGGTCAATCATAAAGCAAGTAGTAAATGGCTGTTGTTTAAAATGGTAAAAATATACTAGATGGAAGGCAACTCAACTATTCAAAACAAAAATAACAACCTGGCCTATAGGACCCATTTTGAGAATGTTTTGAAACTGTTCATACATCAGTCGCAAAGTAAAACTTCCTTCAGAAAGCTTCTGTAAAAGCTCAGGTTGTTGATCGGTGGGTACAACTTCATGAATTTTATCCATGAAACCAGACCAGTCACCCATTCCTAGACAAATGGCAAAAAGAATGAACATTACTACATAATGATAGTTATAAGCAGCAAAGATTGTGTAGATGGTTATAGCAATATAGCTCACCTAAAAGACGGCTTACAAATGGTTTTACATCGAACACTTCAAACTCCTCCATGTGCTCCCCCGTTCCAATAAATATGACTGGGCTTTTAGTGGCTGCAACTCTGCAGTCAAACCAAGTAGAAATATTCATTAATTTTTAACAAAATGATGGAGCTTAAAATGTAAGTTGCTAGCTCCTAACTGAAGCCGAAGAACTGCTACAACATCTCACATAGAAGCAAAAGAGCAAGAAACCTTGATATATGACGACCATTGCAAGGGTGATACAGACACATATGAATGCAATACTCAAACAATGAAGATGATGAAACAAGAAATGAAACTGATGAATGTCAATTTGATGGGTTTTCTCCTATGTATTGTCACTTTCAGGCATCTATAAACTGACTGACATGTCCGAGAATTGAAAACATCTGAACAACTAAACGCATGCCTGCCACAGACAACAGCTGGTCCAAATATACAAGCACAATAAGAAACATACAAACAAAACATACATCTAGATCAGTATATCTAAATGGTAAAATTGATAGTGGCAATTATTATACTGCATCCAACAGATACAAGTCATTCAAGTACAGTAATAGAAGTGCAAACAAAACATACTTCTACATAGCTATACCTAAAGATAAACTTTAATTTCTGCCCATGTTCAATAGAACTAGTGTCACAGTTATGGTTCTACAACTACCTCTCCATCATATGTTATATGCTAGAAACAAATGCGACACTGTAAAGAGTATGGTTCAATTGTTGCATGGATGTATTTCAAAAATTTGCCCAGTGAAGGTACATCACAAAACAACCAAAGTTGCCTGCAAGAAGGTATGACATGCTCAGAAATAAAAAAATATTAGAGTTGATCTTGCAAAATTATATTTCAAACATTAATGAAATTCAAATAGACTCCTTACGCACTAAGCGCGCCACCTCCTTTTGCATGACCATCCATTTTTGTGATAATCACAGCTCCAACTGCTACACTTTGTTTGAAGGCTTGTGCTTGGTCAAATGCTGCTTGACCAATACTGCTGTCCATGACAAATATTATAAGATCGGGTTTCTGTGAGAGAGCAAAAATTATTAATCAACTTCCATTATGCAGTAAGTCTGTAGTTGAAATATGATTGGAAAGAACAGCATATCTACCGTTGCTTCTGAGACTTGACGCATTTCTTCAAACAGAGCAGCTTCCTGTTTGTGTCGCCCACTTGTGTCCACAATAATCAAATCACGGTTTTCTTTCTTAAACGTTTCAACGCCTTCAACAGCTATTTTTACAGGATCTGATTCCATGTAACTGCAGCAGAAATTGATCAAAGTGAACATTAAAGATGTTGTCAAGGGACCTTTTCATACAGATAGAAGAATAGAAGGCTTCTTTTACTTTAATGAGAAAAAAATAACTGGTTCGAAACACAAAGAATCAAGAAGCACATTAGGCACTGCAACATGGAAAAAAGAAGAAACTGTACAAAACTAATTAGATTCACAACATACAAATAAAAGTGTGGTACAGTAGAATATTGCAGTCATAGGTCTTCAGCCAAAATCTTCACCTGTGATGCTGGATTAATTTTTTTGCCAGCTAGACTTTGTAATTATGGAGTTTGTGAACATGCTTATGAAGTAGATAAAATGTACCACATCAATAGAAAATAAATTCTATTAAATTGTATTGGCACATGTACGTTGGATTATGATGCATTTCAAGGTGACTGACTGAAAAGGGAGATAAAAGTCAGATACAGGGACAAGTATAAAAAATTAAATTAAATTAAATATTCACTACTCCAATAGGGCAAGACAAGTATGAGTGGAAGCAGGTGGGAAAATATCTGTTCAAGTATGTTTCTGTTCTAAGTGAGTTTGGATAAGCTTCCATGAATACATATCAGTCACACAACTAAATTCATCTTAGAAATTTATTATTCAAGATAACTCCAGATATAAGTATGGATTTGGGCTGAACTCTATCTGTAACCAGACATCGAAATTGTTATACAAAGTACTAAAATTACCTATACATTACTAGAAAGGGTGGTTATTTCATTGGTTTATGTCGCATCAACCATTTTGTTTTTCTAGAAACACCTTATTTTCTTGTCCTAATTCTTCATTTTCTACTTATATTTGCTTTTGATCCACCTATCCAGGAAATATAATTGATGAATTTGAGTTAGTGACTTTGGAATTTACAGCTCCACAACAACATCTTCAAAGCCGTAAGTCCCAACTATTTGAGATCGTCTACATGGATCTTTTGCTGCCAAAGCATGCAAAGGTGACGAACGAAGGCAATGGAAGAGGTTGCCATCAGTGGTAGACAAAGCTACTACAACAACAGACAAAGTTATAGTGGTGGAAGAGGTTTAGGGTTTAAACGAGTTACAGAGGCGGACGAGATGCAGCGACGGACGAGTTGCAGCGACGGCAGCTGAGCTGCAGCGGCAAATGAGATTGAACAAGGTTGCCGACGACGACTGGCAGAGCGAATAAAGGCGATAGATGTAGTTTCTTCACCTTTGTTTTCTTTTATTGGGTCGGGCGAGGGAGGGGGTTGGACTATGTCGGTTCGATTGAACCAACTTATAAGTCTAATTGAACCAACGATTGAACTCGAGTCCCAAAGTTGGCTCGGGTGCTCACCCAACGCACTTGGCGCCTGGGCTCAGGTGAGCGCCCGTGTAGTGCTTCATTGAAGCGTTGCGCCTGGGGGTTCTACAAGGTGCTCGGGCGCTTGCCTAGGCACTCGAGGCCTCGCCTCACTCGAGTGTCTAGGCGAGTGCCCGAGTGTCTTTTGAAAACACTGATCTCTCTTCATATCATTAATATTAATTATTTCACCTATCCTAACTACCGCATCCTAAGGTCTCCTAAGCACATGCACATACCATTTTAAACGATTTCTCTCATCTCATACTCTATTGAAATGATACCTAGTTGTTCACGAATAAAAGTATTATTTCCTATCTTTCCTAATAACTCCATACAACCATCTCAACACTCTCATCTTGGTAACACAAACTTTTTTGTATATATTGTTTCTTAATTGTTCAACACTTATGATCCATAAAGCATTGTTAGTCTCACAACTGTCTTATAAAATTTTTCTTTAAATCTCAAAGATATCCGATAATCACATAAGATTGCTGATGCCCCTCGTCATTTTAACCATCATGTTTTTACTCTGAATAATATTTTCATCAATCTCTCCATCTTATTGAATAATTAATCCAAGATACCTAAAACTTTTACTTAAAGGGACTTTTTGTCAATCCAACTTAATTATATTCTCCTATCTATTCTTAGAATTACTAAAATTACATTTTATATATTCAATTTTAATCCTACTTAATCTAAAACCTTAAGTTTCCAAGGTTTGACTCCACGGTTTAAGTTTATAATTAATTCCAATTAGGCTCTCATCAACAAATAACATACATTAGGGAAGTCTATCATGCAAGTGACGTGTAACTCTATAAGTTCATCCATTATCAATGTGAAAAAGTAGGGACTTAATGTGAATCCTTGATGTAATCCTATGGTAATAGGAAACTCACTAAACACTCCCCATGATTTTAACTAGTAGCTACATTATCATATATATCTTTAATAACATCAATATAATTAGTGGATACACTTTTTTTTTTCTAAAATCCACCATAATAAATCTCTAGGAATCCTATCATAGGCTTTCTCTAAGTCAACAAAAACCATTTGCAAATCCTTCTTTTTCTACCTATACTTTTCCGTTAATTGTCTTAGTAAATAAATAGCTTCTATGGTTGATCTTCTAGGCAAAAAATCAAATTGATTTTCAGATTTATTTGTTTCAAACCTTATCCTACTTTCGATAACATATCATACATATTTTTAGTAATATCAATATAATAACAAAGTGGAATTTACAGCTAACATATATAATTCATGCAGTATTCAGATCCATATCCATCCAAACAAAAATAATTATAAAGTTCAATTTCCATCTAAACATTCATATCCTTTGATAAAAAGATATTAATTTTCCAACATTTTTAATTGTCTTGCCTCTAAATGTGAGTTCATTCAAATTAAAGTTACCACTAAAGCTGAGAAAGACCAATAAAGACTTAACAAGAAACAATAAGAAAGATGTTATGGCTTTGATTTATCAAGTCCCAATACCCAGAAGAGATCTCATCTTTGAAAAAAAATCCATTTATCTAACCTTAAATAATTGGGAAGAATTAGTTGTTATTTTTGTTATTACCAATGATGATGTTATATGGAAAAAAAATCCATTTATCCAACCTTAAATAATTGGGAAGAATTAGTTGTTATTTTTGTTATTACTGATGATGATGATGTTATTTCAGGTTATCTACAACAAGTTACCACATACATTGGGAAAAGTCCATGGTCATAAGCCATAAGAGACTGACATAACAAAGATCATTAGCATTAAACAAACTCGAGGATGAGATGAGATGATATAAATTGGCAAGGAAACTAATTTGGAAAACACTTATCTACATATGGGTGCTCACTCCATAACATTGTTCAAGACTAAATTGTTTTAACTTTTAACATCATAATCTGTTCTCTTATTCACAATTTTCTCATCTTCAAGCATTAAATCTCGTATCCTAATGGTTTGACTATCTTGAGTTGACAGCATATCTTATGCAACCAGTAGAACTAGTATACCCTTTCTTTTCTGTTACTTGATCTATTGTATTGTAACCATTTTTTCACTTTGGAAACCATATCTCAACTGATTTATAAAAGCCGCAGCATAGAACCTTCATTCCTAAGCATTGTAAACTTTGAAGTTCACCATTTGATTCTGTGCTAAAAGGAAAGAGCACAATTGTTTGAAACAATGTAATCAGGCAAACTTCACATGAAAATTTCCATTACACACCTCACTTATATGGAGACAACATGGATCAAGAATTTAATCCCCATATCATTTCACCTGTACAAGGTGAAACATTATGTTCCAATCATTTCATGCAATGCAGAATTAGCTTGTTTTGCTGATCTATAAATTAACTCTGAACAAAGCTCTCTTGACCAGGCTTTCTAAGTCAAATCACAGATCAAACCAATCTGGTTGTGAGAGATCTTAGATCTTTGATAAACTCAACATTAGGATTTCTCTGCTGGCGAGTCATGCCAAATCACCACCAGAGACAAATTTTGTCCTCTCCAGGTTTTTTTGTTCTTTTTTATGTTTGCTTTCTTTCTTGTTCTGGCAGCTTACAAACTGAGATGCAGGAAATGACATGATTAGACAGTCTGGCAGCCAACCAGCATCCCTTGCTGCTGGAGCTTCAGTCCTTAATAATGCACAACATTGTCAATTATGCTAACCATATCCAATAGATATCTCTCAACAAGTCAAACTGTAGCAAGGTTACTTGATGAAAAGATCATAACATAGTGAGACTGCAATTAAGAGGATATCTAAGTAACAGGATACCTTCCATAATAAGGAATTTTGGTTTTTGTTGCATTTTGCTTTAACTGGTCAAAAGCACCAGCTCTAAATGTATCAGCACAAACTAAGGCAGGCTTCCATCCCTTCTTTTGATGATAATATGCATATTTGGTGCAAGTTGTGGTTTTTCCAGAACCTGTACATAGAAAAGAACAAGCAAAGTGAGCCAGTGAAATAAGTTATGGTATTGCAACCTACACTTGGTTGAAGAAACAAAAATGAACCGAAGACATTTCTTAATCAGAAGAATGGTAAAGACATGAGGTAAGCTTACTTTACATGCACACAATACAATTTCCACAGAAGGACTCAACTAAGGTACCACATTCATGGTACTTCGATTTAGGCATGCAATTAAAAAGAGGACGAAGACTTACTCAAGAACTTGAGCCAAGGTTTTGAATATCGTACCATATCGATGTACCAATCAGCTATCGGTATGGTACATACCGAGCTATACCAAGTTGTACCGAGCGTATTGACACATAGTACACTAAGATGTATCGATGTACCATCCATACCGGTGCTTTAATGGACCGATACATACCGCCTATACCGAGCAGTACGGTACGATATTGCAAACTATGACTTGAGCACCTATTGAGATTTTTCTCATTTCAAGTTACCTATGGGATGAGATTAAGTACATTTTGACTTGGAAGACATTGATAACTGCTCTCTCTGTTTTTCTTCACATTTTTTGGATGAGATTAAGATGATATCAGGATAACAAAATTAATGATGTTGATGATCATTGAAATTAATGGAGTCTTTGGTTATGTTACTTTTGTTATTAGATTTGACAAATTGAGTGTTCTAATGATTTATAAATAATAAAATTTATGTAATTTTGAGGTTTTGATGTTGAATCTTTTAAACATGAAATGATATGAAACTCATATTATTCAAATTTTATTCTATTCATTGTCTTTATGCTTAATTATATATATATATATATATATGAGTGGTAAGTGCCTAGTTTTTCTCCGCCGAGCATGTAGAGCCTCAAGCATTTTGGAACCTTAGTGCATCTAGTGCCTTGACGACACTACAACTAATGATGATAAGTACCAGTATCAAATGTATATGTGTCTCAAACTACATATGCTTTTGGTTGGTCTGTTATCAGTCACGCTATTGTCATTTCTTTTAAATTTTAGATTATCCTGCCTTTTTTCTTTGCTATCTTTAAGTCTTTGAAGAAGATTAACTAACTTTCCAACATAGTTGATCATTTTGATGATGCAAATGCCTATGTGGATTTCATACCTTGTAGACCTACGAACATTACCACACTGGTCTTCCCCTTCTTGGGGGTAAAAGAAGGTTTTCCAGGATCCAACATTTTGCAGAGTTCATTGAATACAGCCTGAGGAAAAGACAACAGACAATTTTATTAAACACAACATAATAAGCAAAAGGTTTGAAAAAGGGAAATCACATACCAACAAATCAAAGAATTTTTAGTGAGCTTCAAACAATATAATATTTTTAAGCAACAATGGTTTTAAGACAATCACACTCATAAGAAATAGAAGTCAAAACATCAAATTACTGATTCAGTTCAACTGCAGTGGTAAGGTGGTTCTCAAACTACAAAATAGGAAAACATTAATCTTGAGAAGGAAAAAATATAAGAAACCAAATGTTTATTACCAAGGAGGTAATAGTGTGAATGCCTCCAAAAATAGAAGAATTAAGGAGAAAATAATATAGTTATATTACTGATGTTAGAACAAGAATAATATTCTTCAAAGTAATAGCCAGCTGATCATCACAACAGAAATTCGAGAATCCACCCTCTTTCTTTCAAAGGGAAACCTCAGTTTTCAAAAGTTCCAATAATCTGTTGTGTTAAACTACCAAAGATTCCTTTAAAAATGATTTCAGTATCCCTCAAGGGAAAGCAAAATACTCCATATACTAACTAATTTCATGCCCATTAAATCATGAGAGGTTTTTGATGCTTGGCCAAATTAAATTACAGTAAACATTATGGTCATTGTATTACCATGAATCCAGGATTCACTCTCTCAACTGTTTATAAAAATTTTATTCCTGCATTCTGAAATTTGTGCTCTGCCCCTAAAATTCTCATTTCAGCAAATATGAACAGAAGCAAAGGCATGACTCATGGGAAGTATGTAGTAAAGTAAATATTCTGCAAATCAAAAGCATGAAAGAAGACGGCAAAAATATGGTTCTCAATGGTAGCCAGCTGATTTTTGTAGTGGAAGACAAGAATAATCGTTTTTCTTTCAAAGCAAATTCTTTTCTTATTCGTTCTTGAGGTTGAAAAAATCAAGTGTCTTACACTACCAGATATCCTGTTGAAAATAATTATAGTACCATGCAAGACAAAAGATGATAGATACTCCATGTGCATGGTCAATAGAAACCAATAGCATTCCAATCTGACTACCTTACACCATTAAGAGATGCACAAAGTGACTAGCATTACATTTCAAATTTCCAATGACCTTTAAGTTCTATAAAAACTCGATCCCTGATCTCCAACATTTATGCTCTTCCCTGGAAGTCCTCTAACTCAGCAATTGTAAACAAGAGCGAAGCCATATTCTCTCGAAAGTAGTCTCTACTAACCACATTTCCGACCTTATATCATCCTTCCCAATCAGGATAGAACAAATCCAGGACAACTGGCAACTAAAAAGGCATATCTTTTATGAATTGGATTAAGAATAAGATTTTCACCATGATTACAGTACCATGTCATCGCAATTAACAAACCAGTTAGAACCTAAGTCATATAACCCAAATCCTCTCAGTCATCCCCATGGACCTGCATCAATGGGCAAAACCCTACAGCATTTCATATACCCTCCTTTGCATTTTAGGGATATCTTTTTCACTCTACCATCCTACAAATCCCAATGAAAACATAGCAGCACGAAAAGGATCCGAACTCTGTTATTACAATTAAGGAATCAGAGAAAGAATTTACTTTCAAATTTTCCAAATGAATCAAACCGTGATCCCTTGAAATCAAATCCAAAATCTATGAACACTAGACCCCTTTGCACTAATAAATTATAAATGTCAGTTATTTTCGCGTCGTCAACAAAGTAAGAAGCAAGAACAAACGCGTTTGAAACCCTCGCTAACCAATTCAATCCCAACAAAAAGCCGAAAGTGACTTGATCCAATCGAATCAAGAGACCGATGGAGGGACGACCTGTTGAATGATGCGGCGCTTGTTGTGGCCGGCGGCGAGGTCGTCAAGATTGACGATGCGCTTGATGTTGGCCTGCATGTCCCGGACCAGCTTGAACTGGACGTCGGACTGCAGCAGCGCGCGCGAGATCTCGTTCAGGCATTCGCTGAGCACCTTCTCATCGATAATGGTGGCGTTGCTCATCTGCTGCAACGCCCGGGCGATGCTCCCGCCGAGCTGTGCGAGCACCATCTTCGCGCCGATCCGCCTCCGCCTGCTTCCTTGATTTAGGGTTAGGGATTGGATGAGAATTGGGATGAGAAGAGAAAAACGCCTCGAGAGGAACAAGAAAAGGGATCGGAATACCCGAAACTTTGCGAAAGGAAACCCTAAATTTATACGATTTTAAACGACGCCTTACGAGGATTGCGATAATCTTTGTGCTTTCCTTTTTGGTCCTTTTCTTTACTATTATATAGATAACACCCCTCAAGTCAGATCGCAAACGCTTATTGTTCTTGTTTTGTTATATAGACCGGAAATATGAGTCAAAGAGAAAAGAATCGAGTCAATAGTAGGTTAAATGGAGGAAATCTATCAAAAAATAAAATCATGATTAATAAAATATTAAATAATTAAAAACTATATAGGAGAGGCGAAAGGGAGGCGAGGATGATAAAGATGATAGAGCAAGAGGCCATGGGCAATTTCTTCCTTTAGGAAACAAGAGGTGCTCTAAATGAATAAATAAAAAAATAAAATTATTTTTTTTAGAAATTATCCTTATTGGCATTGAGATCTAATAATTAGATTTGTTGCATTGACGTCACTCAATTAGTGAGTAATGATAGTCTAAAACTAACCCATGTTACATGGTGGCTAGATATGTGGCCACACACATGATGATAGAGGATCTAACCCTTCGTACTAATTCTCATTCATCCAAAAGATTCAAGAGGAGCCTATTCCCACTAGCTTTTGATTGTACATCTTGCAATCATTTAATGACAATATAAGCTTAACTAAACACATTGTGACCTTCCATGGTATTGTACGACACATCGGATGTCTTAATGTGTGACATTTTCTTTACCACACTATGAGGCTTGATACGAGAGTGATATGCCTAATGAATGTGAGGCACTTTGGCAAGTTCCTTCGGTGATATTACAATTAAGGAATCAGAGAAATAATTTATTTTATTAATAAAGCCACTTTGGTAAGTTCCTTCAGCCAATTTATCGTGAGCTTGGTCCAAATTACCTAAGTTGTGAGGCATTTTTGTGTTATCTGTCAATAAATGGTCCTTAATTATGACCGCACTCAAGTCTCAAAAGATTTATAAAAGAGTAAATTGATTAGTTCAAAAGCGAACGATGAATAAGCCCCGACATCTCGTGAAAAGAACAACTTTACAAACAATTAAATAAACACTTAGTATACAAAAGAGAAAATAGAGAGAGAAAAAAGGATTGAGGCAAACGAAGACGTAAGTCCACAAATGATTACTCATCGGGTGTCGAGCATATCGGCAAGTTCTCATAGGCTTAACGTGCAAACTTGTGAATTCAATCAATACCCAATACTATCCCAAACCCTCATTCAGCTAGGTGCCATCCTCGGGGTTCTAGTGTGCTGAGATGATTGATGCTTTTCTTTACACTATAGCCTGTAGAAAATAAGTAATTACATGTGAAAACTATGTCATTTTGAGGTAATTTTGCATATTCTAGTGAGTAATCGCTTTGTAACTTACAAATTATTTCTACTTATAGTTTTCAAGCAAAGTACACAAAACTAAAATAAAACACATTGCCCAAACATATGTACAAGCAAATAAAAACGATGAATGGTCCATTGACGAAGGTGTTGCGAGTGTACAATGACTGTTCATAATGAATTAGCCAAGGAGTTTGAACAACCTTTTGTTATAAAATATGTGTCTTAAATGCATATGGGAGAAAGAGACACTCCCAAATTCATCATTTGATTCATAAATGATATATGCGACATAGTAGACGCCCATCATAAATGAGATTTTGGATGAATTTGTTAGTCATAGGTGCCCAGCAAGCCAATCACGTGAGTGATGACACGTGTGACTTGATACAGAATCTTTTTTTGCTTATTATATTTTGACGTATATCACTTTATAACTATTGCATAAATGCATATATATATATATATATATATATATATATATATATATATTGTGATGTCCTTGGATTTGTGCAATGGGAATCGGATCGTGATGAGATCACGATAATGAGATCGATTCACCTTTAAACACATATCCTAAATAATCCCGGTCATAGGTTACTTGAGAGGGACATCGTGATAACCGGATAGACTGGTGTGCTGTATACCCGTCCATAT